AATTAACAAGAAAGGACCTATGAAAGGACATGCTACCTATATCCAGAGAAAAATATGATAAATAGAAATATGTATACAATGATTTTACATATACATAAATATTTGCATTTAATGGTAGCCATCTACAAGGTGAAGGGGAGGAGAAAAGAAACAAAAAGGAAAAAAAGTTACATGATAACTTTATATTTAAAAGGAACCGCAAGTGGTACATAATAGATTTGCACTTTCATGTTCAATCATCATTTTTTTCTATTTTACTATATTGTGCAAATGCTTTTTTTATTTCTTAAGTTCAAAATAAAATAAATATATATTTAAAATAGTATTAAACAGTCATTTTTTTAAAAAAATAAAGAAATTTGCCCAACTCATTTATGACAGACAAGCGGGTGTAGAAATGAGGTCTTCTAACCCTAGCCCAGTACTCTTTCACTGTATTTGCTGCTTCTACTGCTTCCTTGTTAAAACAGGCTTTGTTGTTAGAAGTTGTTAGGGTTAAATCTTGTCCCTTAAAACATAAATATGCAAGTAAAATCTTGTTGTATCAGTTAGTCTGTAATCAATCAAACAGATCTTTACTGACTACTCAGTGCTGTGTTAAGCACAATATTATGGGTGTTAGTCCTTTACATGGGCACCACATAATACAGATTTTCCGTTTCACTAACTCAACATAGTGAGTTGTTTACTAAATCAGTCTTAATAAAAGAACTCATTCTAGTTCATTACTTTATCGTCTCTATGGTCCACATCATATAAAGCATTTTTCAGCAGTTTAAACTATAAAAATATGGCCTGCATAGGTATGAATGTGAGTCATAGAATCTGGGAGCTGGAAAGGATGTCAGTGGTATATCTAGTCTGATCTTCTTCCAAAATATGATTCATCTCTATAACATCAAAAGAAAGAGGTCGTTAAAAAGTTGGAGAAAATGCTTTACAATCCTTAAAGCACTATCAAATGAGTTGTTCAGTATGTCTCAGAACAAGCCAGTCTGCTCGTAGATGGCTGTAAATGTTATTTTTTCCTTATTTTGAGCCTAAATCTAGCAATTGCGATTGGTTTTATGCTCTAAGACTAAGCTTAACAAATTTTAATTACATATGACAATCCTTCAAATATCTGAAAATAGCAATTGTGCCCTTTCAAAGTCTAAATTTCTAAGGCAGCTAGGTGGCACAGTGGATAGAGCTCTGGCCTTGGAGTCAGAAGGACCTGAGTTCAAATCCAGTCCCAGACACTTAACACTTACTAGCTGTGTGATCCTGGGCAAGTCATTTAACTCCGATTGCCTAAGGGAAAAAAAAGTCTAAATTTCTCCCCCGTTCAATAACCCTATTCCTACATGTCATAGTTTGGAGTCCTATTATCATCTTGGTCACTATCTGTCCAGTTTTTCAGTGTGTGCCCTAAAATGTAGCACTCAGAACTGAATAGCATATTTCTAATATGACCCAAGTAGAGCAATGTGTAGATTCAACTATTGCCTCCCTCATTGCAAGTGGAACAAACATTTATTAAGTGTCAGCTGTGTTCGGACCGCTGTGGTAAAGTCTAAGGAAGACATAAACATTGCAGAACCCAACTTGCAAGATTACTATTAGGGACAAAACAGATCATGTATATAAACTACTTTTCTAAATCTAAAGCACTGTATCAATTCCATCTTATTATTACAATTTATAATAATCTTGTTTACATCATTTCATGGAGTTCAGATAGCAATGATTCTCTGTTACATCAATATCCTATTATTCTTTTTGCTTAGGTATAACAGACTTTTGAATAGATAGATAAAATAACATTTTTGTAATAATTATGTAAAAATATTGAGATGCAAGTGTATTTTCTGTACACTTACTAAAAGAATCTTCAGGATAACTCTCATAACAGATAAACAATGGAGATTTGTATTAGGGCTTTTTTTTAATATTTTAGAAGCTTTTTTAGTTACACATAGATTAGAGATTATAAAGATTTAGAACAGCAGCCTCTTTTAAAATGTGCGTGATATTTTGTGGATTTATATTTGATCTTTGTAATTATAAGCCATAGGTTCATCTGTGATTGCTTTCCAGTTTCTATATAGCTGGGTTTTTTTAATAGTCAATGATTTTTTGAGGTCTATATTTGTGGTATAGGCATTTATCATAAACTCCTCCATTTCTACAAAATCTCATTAAATATAAACTTTGTTTAATAACAAAATAGGAAGATAAACCTACTCGAGTTCATTGTTTTCGTAGAACCTACACTGCTACCAAGCACAATATCTAAGTAACCTGTATGATCCTGTCTGCTACTTTTATTTATGAACACTTTCACAGCCTCTCCATTACTTACCTTCCTTTTTTCTTCCTCTGGCATACACATTTGGAATTAATTCTGCCTGACTTCCAATACTGAAATACCTAAATTTTGTGAAAGAAATTCATCACAATATCTGAACTGTTCTTTCTCTTAGCCTTGAATTCTCATGTATTTGTATTCCAGCAGTTAGTAATGCAGATAATCTCAGGTCACATTAAATTTGCCTTATATTAAGAGGCTGGAATTCTCCATGTTAAGCATTTTTACAATGTGTAAAATGTCCCATAGGTAAATAAGTTGCCAGTTTCATTACACGGTAGTTGAATTAGAGTGGAAACTAATTACATTTCTCTTATATTTACTTAGGCACTAACTTATTTCCTGTGAATTCTTGATTTTCTATAGCACTATACAAATGCTGATTAACCTTTACTTGTTTGGTTAAATAACCCTCAAAGCTGAAATGGTTAAATTGCTATTAGAAAAGAACTGATCCTTAGGTCATGGTGAAATTGCATTGCTAATCTAATATGACCCATTCAAAGATGAACACAGAACGAAAAAGGCCTATTCTGTGAATATTTGTTCATGGCTACATACTATATAGCAAAAGATTTTACACAGAAATGAACCTGGAGTGTTAAGTTCAAATTTCTTCTAGAAAACAAGTTTTACAAATGTGCATATCAGGAACATTAGCGGTTGGCCTGTAAAATAGTTTTCTATATCTACATAACAGAATCAGAATTATATAGTCAAATAGTTAGACTAGAGGGACAGGGCATCTTAACTGATGCATGTGTGTTCAAAGTATGTGACAATAGTCCCATTTCCCCCCCTCTTTTGAAAGCATTATTATCAATACATTGACCTGTGAAATAATTTCCCATTCCCTGTCCAAGCAGAAAGTGGACAAGATCCAATCCCCCACACACACATACACAATTATGCAGAACCTCCACCCCCATAGACATTCACAGAGTATGGAACAAGTATATGATTCTTGCCTAAAATACACTTATACTCACCAATCCCACCCCACCCCCAACTCAACATACCCCTCCCCAAATGTCAGGAAGCTTTTGTTTGCTTTATGAACATGGTTCAATGACTTTATCTCTTGACTGGGATTCTCATTTCAAAAAAGCAAGTAAGTTCCTACCCTATACAGGAGCAAACATGCCCAGTCACTGAGCAGAAATTATTCCTAAAAAACCATGGTTTAAACCTTGAGATTTTGTGTGTGTGTGTGTGTGTGTGTGTGTATCACTTAATTCATCACAAATTTTGAGAGAAAGGAAAAAATCTATATCACTGAGTTTCTCTCATTTTCCTTACTTTTTTTCTATATCTTCTCATCTTTTCCTCTGTCTTCTACACTGATTCAAACTCCCTCATCAGTCAAATTTAGTCTAAATTAGAATGAAGTCTCATTAGAATGAAGAACTATATGAGGCAAAATAATAGCACTGAATATTAGAGTACAGTTACTATCTTAACTGAAAGATGTGGGTGACTAGAAAGCTAGCATGAGTTAGGAAGACCTGGCTTCAAGCTATGCCTCTGACATATTCTTGTTTTGTGGCCATCTATAGCTCACTTTTAGTGAATGAGGCAACTGTCTGTCTACAATTACGTTCCACATCAGAAAATTCCCTACAACTATAAAATCATAGACTTTATACTAATGACACTAATAAAGATGGGTATTTATCATTTTGAAGGTGCAGATCTATTTTAAATTATGTAGTGTCATATAATTAAAATAATTATGGTAGTGGTGTCCTCAGTTCTCTTTCATACATTACATGTAATTTTGCTTCTTCATCTCCCTGGTTAGCCTAACACTTTAATTTGGACATCTACTTTCCTTTTGTGCTCTCACATCAGTAAATTTAGCAAATCTACTTTGATTATCCACTGCTTTATCCCTTTTCCCTTTCATGTTTGGCATACCACAGTCACCTTTCAATGTAGTCCTTTTCTTGGGAAAGTTGAGTTTTTAAGAAAAGGTGGGTATTGCTCTGTTGGAATTCAGTTCTAATCAATTCATCCATGATTCACTGCATTTATTTGGTTATTGAACTTCATTTCTTGCAGATAATCAGTCATACCTTTCACTATGATTAGATAAACGCTCAATTAGTGATAATGGCATGAAATTTGCATCTTATTCTAACAATTTGCACCCTTTATCCCATTATATAATCATGGGATAACTACTCTTATTATGAAGATAACAGTGATTGAACTATACCAGCGTTAGAGTAAAATAAAAAAAATACTGTCATTCTGATAATGCTATTCTTTCCATTGCTGTTATTGAATCTTATAAATGTGCTTACTCTTTATGATTAGAGTTTCAACTTCATTTACAAATGATCTTAAGCTAAAATTAAACTTTTTCAGAAGACAGATGGCCTGTACTCTAGATACACTTCTGATATCAATGTTAATAAACTAAGGCCCTGTATCAACTCCCAAAGGGGGACTTGCCACCACAAATCATATGCCAATTTATTAGTGTACCTCAGCTTTCTTAGGAGAAACTGGCCTTACTTACCTTACAAATATTTTTTAAAAAACTTAAACTCAATGAAAATCATATTGGATATGTTGAAACTTTATCATTGTTATTGTTGTTCATCCCTCATTCTCAAAGAGGACCAATGATGGGAAATCACTGTACCTTTTAAAATTGCATCAGCAGTGTTGACCTGAAAAAGCAAAGAAAAGCACGGATATTTTGTATTTGGGCAGCACTGAAACATAATCTAGGTAATGCACATTCAAAAAGAATTAATTTTCTTCTTTATCAGTGCTTCCAAAATTGGCAATGTAATTATTGTTATATAACAATTGTTACAGTAGAAGAAAACCTGTGATGAAAGTTCAAAAGAAAAGAAAAATTAAAGGCATAATCAAAAGATAGATAAAATCATCTCCATTCTCTTCTAGACTTGCTTGGCTAAAACAAACAAACAAAGTCACCCACCAACTATCTTAACAGATGATAATTATTCATATTGTATTAAAGAAGGTACAGCATCCACGTGCTTGTAATTTTAAAGAGGACTTTAGGCTCAAATATGTGCAGGGCTTTGATGGTTTATGAGTTGTAGATATATATGCACATATACACACATACACACTGAGATATATCTCAGTGTGTATATGACATATATGATGAAACCCATGATGCCCAATGCAACTGACAGGGTTTGACGTTTTGTTAGAAAAGTCCCCCTGATCCCCACTGTGTGAAGTTACTTTCAGTGTCCTTATGTGACTTCAGTGCTTAATTAAACTTCCTTACTTTAGCAGAATAAGTGGTACCTTACCTAGTATATGCCAGTGACACTGTAAAAAGCCCTGAGGAACCAGGCACCCTTAAAATAAGCTTGCTAGGTCTCTGCCTCAGGAAATCTAAAATGGAAAGCTATTTTTTTTTCCCCTTTTGATCAATCTGACAAACTCCACCATGGAAGCAAACATGTATTAAATCCTTCCTTTGTGGATCAAGATACCCTGAGGGGGACACAAGGTTTAAATAAGTTATAGCCCCTGCCTTCAAGGAGTGTATAGTGTAGTAGGTGGCAAGACACACAATGTTATAATAATCATTGTTATTTCATTATTATTACATTTCTATTATTATTATTATTATTATTATTATTAATTACCTTATTATTGTTGTAGACTTGTGTTTTCATCCTTTGGAAAACTCCCACTCAAGCAGACTGACAATTCAACTATATTAGCATCTTAGAGAGTTGCCTTTGTAAATGACAAGTTAAATGACTCAGCTATATATACCAAAGGCAGGGCTATCTACTGTAACCCACAGCCTCTCCATAGATAACTATAGTATACAATATTACCTGATACATGAATTACAATTACCCAAAAAAAAATGTTATGTGAGGCCTAATGTGAAAGTGTGTTGCCAACCAGGGATACTAGAGACTCCTCCAACATTTACAGCAAAAGAAGATTAAGCTTAAGGATAGTGTCACATACAGGGCTAGTTACTCAGGGGAGAAAAGGTAATACTGAATTTTAGTAACTACTATATGCACCTGAATTTAATAGTTAAGTGATGCATATATTAGGATCATTAGATCCTTTATTATATTCTAAACTTACTGTGTATTAAAAGAATGAAATAAAACAAAAAATAAATCACACACACACACACACACACACACACATATATATATATATATACATATGTATATATATATATACATATGTATATATATATATATATATATATATATATATATATATTTGATCAGTAATTGCATTCATGTCGATTACTATACCCTTGAGAGTACAGTTAATTAAGCCGTAGTTAAGGGTTAAATGTCCATTTTTTTTTATCAGTTGCTATATAGCTGCATACCACTGGTTTCAATGGAATAAAAGGAAGAAAGTGTAGATGGATCAGTGGAACATATCAACCACTCCTGGGAATCAATTCCCACAAAGCTCAAACCAAAGTCTCTAATGACATGATCATATTATTTGTCAGCCAAGGATAATATATTCTATTTTTTAAAAAAAAGATCAAGTTTGATGAGTTCTGAATCTTTTCTATGTCTTAGGTTTGGAAATCAAAAAGAGTACATATAGTTGAAGGTGCATAAATATCCTGGATCACATTAATAAGGAATTACAACCCCTTATTTTACAATTATGAAATGGAGACTCACTTTCAGTTTTGCTGAATGTCACACCAGCAGATAATGACTGTACACTGGGCTGTTTAAGGAAATGCTGAATTCAGTCACTAATTATTACCTGGACAGAGAACTCAGGGGGACAGAGAAAGACTCTGAAAACAAGGTAGGCTAGAAGAAGACTATTTCGAAAAAGAAAAATGAAGATCCTAGAATTGTAAATAGGTCAGCTTATCTTTTGGGAAATATGTTTAAACAAATCACCAGACAATCAATGTATATTAGCCTAAAGTATATATAACATTGGATTAAAAATCAATTTGTTTTGCTAACAGTAAATCAGTGCTTCTCAATTTAATGTCTTTTCACACCAGAGTGAAACTGCAATTGATAAGGACAAAATTATATCTCTATTTGATCTGGACTTTTTAAGGGTCTTGATTCTGTCACATGAAGCATTTTCCTTTATGTTTTGAAATGTCATGATCACCTATAATATGCTTATGAGGGTATCAAAGCCAGATACTTAGGTATTTTGAGATCATAAAATATAAAAGCTAGATGGTACCTCTGAGATCATCTAGATTAATCTCCATCTTTTAGAGAAAATCAACCAATTGATCAACAAGCATTTTAATAAGTGTCATATATGCCAGATACTCTTCTAGAGGCTGGAGCTACAAAGAAAAAATTAAAAAGACTTTGCTTTCAAAGAGTTTACATTCTATAAGTATTTACAAAATAAATTAAAAAGCAACTTGAGGTAGGAGGACAGTAGCTTCTACATCTGTGGATCAGGAAAGACTTAAAATAGAGATGAGGTAACTTGTGCTTAATCCCGAAGTAAGTAAAGAATTCTATAAGGTGAAGATGAGGAAAGTAAACATTCTGGGAGTGAGAGATGATTCAGAGACAAGAGATATAGTGTTATTTGTGAAGAACAGCAAGAAAGCCTGTTTGACTGAGCCATAGGGTGCAGAAAAGATAGTAATTCACTTCAAATTTGAAACAGGAAAGTTTATGTTCAATCCTAAGGACTACAGAGGACCACCAAAGTATAATGAATAGGAGAATTATATGGTCAGAATTGAAGCTGATGAAGCTGATATTGGTATCTGTCAAGGAAGAATTCAATCAATTGATGCATCTGCAAGCACTTATTAAGTGCTTATGGTATGCTACAAATCATGGATATAAATGTTTAAAATAGGATGATGTTTGCTTGCAGGTATCCTATAGTCTGTCTAAAGATTGTAGGGTGGAAAGGGAAACTGATGACCAAAAAGCAGAGTGGCATACCCACACAGAGCTGGACCAGAGCTGGTCTCTAAATGTCCTGAGCCTCAGTCCTGTGCTATTTCCTTTACTTGAAACAAAGAGACATGTGGCAGTGGCAGAAATGTTCTCTGAACTCATTCTCTTGTTCCTTATTTCCTGAGCACTTCTGCACTTCTGTGTTGTTTTGCAATTGCTCCCTAATTAATTAGTGTATATTTGCTTGATGCAGGGACAGTTCAATTAGACCCTGTATATCTCTTGTCATCCCATTTGGTATAAGAACAGAATATTGCACTTTGGTAATCCTAAGCATCATCCATTGCTAAGCATGCAATAAATATCAATGTTCCTTCTGGTTTTTTTAATATCATGAGCAGATAACCATGTTGACAGGAACTTGGCTGGAGAATCTGACTGCTGATTCAGAGCATGGTCAGCTTAGGCAGTAGCAAGAGACAGGAGTCAAGGTATGGATAAGCAGGAATCAAGGCAGATCTGTAGATGAGGATTTGGGGTTTGTCAAGTCCAGGCATGGGCCAGGTGACTAGCATCAGGCACAGTCAAATTCAGAAGGGTGAGTTTTGAGACTGGCAGAGGTAGTTAGTTAGGGACAGAGTCAGTCATCTCTGGTCAACTGGATTATCAGCATCTACCTGTAAATATTCCTGGGAGACAAGCATCTTGGTTCAGCGTGGGGGCTTTCTTCACATGCCCAGGCATAAAATTCTCTCCACACTTCATTTGAACTCCCCAGTTGCAGGGCAGGGACTGCTTTTTTTTTTAGTTGTATTCCCAGTTCTTGGCACAGTGCCTGGCACGTAGTAGGTGTTTAATAAATATTTACTGACTTTTGGGTAAAGGAGCAATGAAGGTAAAAATGCAATGTTGCCTTGAGGAACAGTGTCCTGTCTCTAATCTTTTCTACAGGCAGTTGCCACATCATTTTTCCAAAACACAAATATGACCGTATCATTGACCTGTTCAAGAACTTTCATAAGATCGCAGACCTAGGGTGGAAAGGACTTCAGAAGACATCTAGTACAACTCTCTCCATTTACAGATTAGGAAACTGAGGCCCAGAAAAATTAAGTGACTTGCCCAAGGTTACACTAGTACAATGTATCAGAGGTGGGATTTGAATTATGATCCTCTGAATGCAGACAGTGTTCTTTCCATTGTGAATCATGCTGCCCGCTGTAGTGGTGCTTTATGCCTCTACAGTGAGATATGAGCTCCATAACTTGGCACTTGCAGCCCTTTCCCAGTCTACCTTTCCATGTTTATTTCACATTATTCTTGGTGATGCACTTTATGTTCCAGCCAAATTGGCCTATTTGCTATTCCCTGAATTTGGCATTTTTACCTCCCCCCTTTCTCCGTACCATTATATAGGCTGGCTATTTTCTCCTCATTCCTACCTTTGAGAATTTATCCTTTCTTCAAGGCTTGGCTCATGTGTTCCCTCCTTCAGCAAGCTTTTTTGTTGTTGTTCTTCCTACTTCTTAGGTCTCTCTCCCTCTTAAAATTATTGTACATACATTCACCACCAAGTAGAATGTATGGACTTCAAGGGGAGGGATTATATCTAGTTTTATCTTAGCTGACCTGGCATTTGGATTTGACACAGTGCCTTTCCACACAATAGGCAATTAATAAATGCTAGTTTCATTTGGCTGGAACATAGAATGTGTGGGGAAGAATGATTTGAAAAAAGGATAGAAAGATAGCTTATAATCAAATTACTGGGGTTGTTAAATGAAAAGAAAATATTTTTAAAGTTGGAGATAAAGATAAGGAGGGAGTTCCAGCTATTGATATTTGAACCTGATGTTCTTGGTGAGCTGGCCTCCAGGACTCAAGGTTGAGAGCTCCTGGCACAGTCTTTACTATATGCAATAGAATTCCAAACTAATTTATTTTCCCATCTTTGGAGAAATGGTTCTTAGCAAAGGAAAGGCGAAATGAGTGTTGTGGGATTTTTTTTTATTTCTTACTATATGTCTCAACAGAAACATTGATAGGTGTTTATTCATTGCTTATTAAATGAATGGATGGATGCATGGATGGATGGATGGATGGATGGATGGATGGATGAAAACATCTGCCTGCTTTTATTTAGCATTACTTATTCTCTATTTTCAGTTTTATGATCCTTATAACCTTTCAACTTCTAATATATAATGGTTTCTTTCATTATTCATTTATTCTGTCACCAAGGCAACTTTTTACAAAAGAAATTTTCTCCCTAGAAGCAGAGTAAAAGTCATTTTATATATGAAATATTGCTGAACAAGCATATACAAAGAAAACAATTGACTCTATTTTCCCCACTTACTTCTCTGTAGTAAGTTAGTTTCAACTCTTCCATTTCAAGCTAGTCCAATCACTTCAGAATCAATCACTGGGGAACGGGGGAGAATTTGGTTTCTCATGTCTTCTTCCATAATTTGACATTACTTTGAAAGAGGATGATTTAGTCTAGTTAGGAACAATATAATCATAAATGAGGTAAATCTGGATTCAGTAGGTTTCCCCTTAAAATAGTTCAACCTCAAAAGATATCTAGTCAGTAACAATTAATACTTAAGTTTTAAAAAGATGTTATTGAAATCTGAAAAGATAATCTTTTTCTTTTGTGTCTAGGTGAGATTTATTATATGTATTTGATTTCATCTAGCCTAGCACATTGATTTTTTTTTATCAGAAATAGACAAAAATCTTTACATAGTTCATCCATTTCTGTGAGTTTCCATTTCATGTGAGTTTCTAATACATAATTCAATTTGTCATCAAAAGAACAATGGGAAATGCTGATCTTGTTTCAATTTTTCATTTATTTCTATTCTCACTTTTAATAATACTCCGTCTGAGTTTGATCTGAAAACATATTCATGTCTAGTTTTGTTCTCACGAGACTAGAAAAGCAATAGCTTGTGGAACCTAAAGAAGAGAACTGCACAATGAATTAAACCTATAAAATGAAGATTGTGTCTAAAAAGTTAGCTTGAATAGCCTAGCCTTCGGACTTAAAAATCATCTTCAACATTTTTTTTGTCTGTTCTCTGATCCTCTATCCTAAATAGCTTTGGGTAACTTCTCCCATTTACCATTCTTCTCAATTCTCTTCCAAATAAGAAGAGTTTCAAATAGAAAAACACGATATAGAAACATCCTTCCCTATCATGGTCCTTCTATTTTTTTGGTCACTTTCTTCCTTGTGAAAACCCCATCCACCAAATCTTGCTATTGTAATTCACAAAAGGCTATTGTTGTTCAGTAATTTTTCAGTCATGTTTGATTCATGACCCTTTTGAGGTTTTCTTGGCAGAGATACTGGAGTTGTTTGCTATTTACTTCTCCAGCTCATTGTACAGATGAGGAACTGAGGAAAGCAGGATTAAGTGACTTGCCCAGAGCCCCACAGCTAGTAAGTGTCTGAGGCCAGATTTGAACTCAGGAAGATAAGTCTTTCTGACTCCAGGCACTGCACCGTATCCACCATGCCACCTTGCTGCCCTAAAAAGGCTAAACCAGTTTACCATTATTTTCATATCTCATGCACCATGATGTATGTTCAAGGTGAAGGCAATTATAAGTCTTTGTTCAATGCTGTGTGTCTAGACCTGTTATCAGGAGAGGCCTTTATATTTTCTGAAACTTCCTATTTATACTTTGCTTTTTCCTTAACAGATCCTTTCTTCATGGGGAGTGGAAATTATGTTTTAACAAAACCATAGGGGTCAGAATTGGAAGAATAAACAGCTTTCCCTTTCATTTGTCTTTATACCATTCTTCTATTTTGTGGTCAGTTAGTTAACTCCCATAGCAGTAGAAAAAAATACCTGATGATCCACTATAGTCAGTTGGCAATTGTTTAGTAGAGTTGCTCTGTCCTAATTAGCACAAATAATGAAGAAGACAGAATGTATTTAAATTTACACTATTCAAAGTTATAATCATGTAAAATAGGGCATCTAGGTGTCTCAGTGCTGTGCCTGAAGTCAGGAAGACTCATTTTCCTGAGTTCAAATGTGGCTTCAGATACTTACTAGCAGCGTTGCTTAGACAAGTTGCTTAACCCTGCTTACTTCAATTCCTCATGTGCAAAATGAGCTGGAGAAAGAAATGGCAAACCATTGCCAAGATAACCCCAACGGGGTTATGAAAAGTCAGAGACAATTGAAATAAATGAGCAACAAAAAAAATGATAATTGTTTCCATCTCAATGGAAATATGCAGTGTGAATTCAAGTAATGAGATCTCTTGATGGGATTCATTAGTTCTACAGAGTGCTTATTATGGGTGCAGCATTGTTCTATACATCATGGGGCATGGGGAGGAGGTGGCAGGATATAAAGGTATAAGAAATGTTCCCTTCCCTCAAGGATCCTAGCAATACAGGATTATAGATTTAAAACTAGATGGGACTTAGACATTATCTAATCCAAACCCTTCATTTTACATTTGAGGAATCAGAGGTATCAAGGAATTAAATGAGTTGTCTAGAGTTACAAAAGAAGAGATTGGAAGACTGATGATTAATAATTAGGTCCTTTGACTTCATATATAGAGTATGAGTTTTTCCAATGCACTATTCTTTCTATCAAGAGCTATTTGATATGGTTGACATGATTTGGTATACATCAGTCCAAGAAGAATGTGTAGGAACACTATAAAGAGCTATGATATCAAAAGGGGTAGAAATCATGTTCACCTGACAGTTGATGACTATTATATTGCATTGTTTGAATTGCATATAGTGTGAGCAAATCTTGAAGTACCACACTATGTGTCGATTAGGTAATTCATCAGTATGCAACATTTTAAAAGATAGCTTTAATCATTAACCAGGATCTTTTAGGACTGTTATTTCTCATTTTATTTTTCTACTCAAATATAGAAAAAGCTCTCTTTTTTCTCTCTTAGCTGTTCTTATTACATAGAAAGAAAAATCTTTTGTATTTTGTTAGGCAATATTGCAACCACGAAATCCTTTGGCATCCCAAGCAGGAATAAAATTGTGCTCTATAGATGCAACATGTTGTAATGGTTAAGACATTGATTTGGAGTCAGGGAGACCTGAGTTTGATTTCTGCTTCAGACACTAGCTCTTGATTTTGATCTGGCTATTTCACCTCTCCTTTTCTAAGTTTCCTCCTGTGTGCAATGAGGAGATTGGACACCATGACGGTTAAGTTTTCTTCCAGCTCTAAAACATGTAGTCCTAGGATATATGATTCAGGGTGCAGTAATCTTACTCAAATAATCTTTTTATCTGGATTCATAATTCCACAGCCCACTCCCATGAACTTCTTTCTCTGCTTTTTATCCTTTTCTAATGACACCCTTCATAGAACATCCTGATCCAAACTTTAAAAATTACCTCCTTTAAATTCTTCATCCTAATCTTCCTGGTCCCAACTTTGAGGTTTCAAACCTAATTTGAACATAGTTCCTACATCTATTCACACCAATTACTTCCCTTGCCTCTTCTCTCATTCACAAGTCTTATATCCTGGACTGTACTGAAATATAACAACTAGAAAACAAGGATCTTAACATAAAACATTAGTATATTTAATGCCCAGATTTTATTATCATTAGTTTACTCCAATCAGATACCAGATGGAAATGCCTTGAAATCTATGTATAGTTGTGGAGGGAGGATTTCACCAAGAAAACAAGTTTAAAATGCTTTGAAAAAAAATTCAGGTATCCTCAATAATTTTAGAAGTACTAATTTATATATAATAAAATAAGTCTTAAATAGTATTTTATCTATTCATTAAAAAGGGCTGATAAAGAAAGATTCCAGACAATACTTTTTGAGCTTATTTGTTACTTTTTGCACTTGAAAGTAACAAAATGGCATTTTTTTAAACAATCTATAATTAAGACATTTTCTTCATTGATTTCTAACTTTGTCATGATCATTCCAAAGAAAGCAATTTTACAATATTCAGATTTTCTAGTTATGGAGAAATGTACATTCACTTATTAGTATTCTTAGTATAAAATGAGAATGTCATAGCAGTGTGACCATATAGACTGGATCTCAGCAGTTTTTCCTAAAGTGTTTCCTTCTTCTAGTTTAACATAATCAGAAGATACTTCTTTAAAAACATAACATACTGGGGCAGCTAGGTGGCACAGTGGATAGAGCACTGGCCCTGAAGTCAGGAGGACCTGAGTTCCAATCCTGCCTCAGACACATAACACTCACTAGGGGTGTGACTCTGGGCAAGTCACTTAACCCCAATTGCTCACACAAAAAAAATAAAAATAAAAACATAACATATTTATTTAAAGCAACAATCCTGCTGGTAGCAATATAATGACTTCTTGTTGTTCAGTCATGTCTGACTCTTCATGACTCTATTTGGAGTTTTCTTTGGCAAAGATTTGCCATTGTCCAGCTCATTTTACAGATGAGAAAACTGAGGTAAATAGTTAAGTGACTTGCTCAGGGTCACACAGTTAATGTCTGAGGCCAGATTTGAGCTCAAAAGGATGAGTCTTCCAGACCCAGAACTCTATCTACTGTGCCACCAAACTACCCTGTTATAGTGACTATTTGACATTTATTAGTCAGTCAGTCTTATAAGCATTTATAAAGCATCTATGCTTTGTACCAGGCAAGTTGCTAAGTACTAATGATACAAAGAAATGTAAAAGGCAGTCCCTTCTCAAGGAAAAAGCATGCAAGCATTGATGTACAAAAAAAAGCTATATTAGGATAAAGTAGAAATAATAAACAGAAGGAAGGCAAAATTAAAGGGGATCAAGAAAGGCTCCTGTAGAAGGTGGGGTTTTAGTTGGGATTTTAAGGAAGATGATAGAGTGATGGGGAAGCATTTCAGGTATAGGGGGATGGTCCATGAAAAGCCTGAAGTTAGGTGATGGAGATATCAGAGCATGGAGGCCAGTGCCACTGGATGGTAGAGTATGCTGGAGGCAGGGGAGGGTATAACATGTAAGAAGACTGGAAAGTTGGAGATGTGTGGCAATTTATGAAAGGTTTTGAATACAAAACAAAGGAGTTTCTATTTGATCCTGGAGGAACTAGGGAGCCAGTAGAATGTGTGTGTGTGTGTGTGTGTGTGTGTGTGTGTGTGTGTGTGTGTATGTGTGTGTGTGTGTGTTAGCTTACAATAGTTTTATGACAAAAAGGCATTTTAATTAGCCACACCTGTTTCTACTTGCTCCCTTGACTTTTCACTTCACCTCTTCCATGATGACTATTGCCCAACACTGACTAATTTTAACTGAACTGTGAATACTACTGAAATAATATTGAGTGATACCTTAAGTTTAATTTCTGATTCTCTGGCACCTGAAGACAAAGTGACAGATTACAGAGTTTTCATATGGGTGTATCTTCTGTATTTTAATGAACTTAATTAAATTTTGATATGTGGCTAGAGCATTCTGAGGTCAATTATGGCACTGAGTGAGGGACCATTGTATAATGAAAAGAGCAGCAACTTGGTACTCAGAACACTTGGCTTCTAATCCCACTTTTGCTACTATCTAGTTTTGTGGCCCTGGTAGACAAGCCAGTTAATCTTTCTGTTCTCGGTTTCTTCAGCTGCAATATGCTGATGGGGACAGCATTTTAGATGATCTCTAAAGTCCCTTTCATCAATCTTTAAACCTCCTAGATCTGTATTTGATACCAATAGACCTCCAGTATTATGTTGCAAGATAGTGATGAAGAAGAAGACAGCATATGGGATTGATAAAAATGGGAAATTGAGGAAAAGGAATTCAAGGAGAAGTACAAAAGTGGAAAGAACATGTGCAGAAAATGGAAAGAGATGGAACAAGGGGCAGTAGATCTGAAAATCAGCATCACTCACTTAGAAAACATTGTTGGCTATCATACAATAAAAGAGAGCTATGTGTCCCAAAGTAGATTTAAATGTTGTATTGTTATAAAGTCCTATCCTGTACAATGGGCTCCAGATTCTATTTGCTGCATTTCTTTGACTGGCATCATGAAAACTTGCCTGACAAACAAGAAGAATTAACTTTGGCTTAGAAAAGTTGTGGTCATAATACCCAGAGCCTAATCCCTTATCTGATATTCTGACATTAATTTCCTTTACCTGCCAGGGTCTGGATATGCTTAAACTAGTGTAGTCGAGTCTGTCACTTTGACCCTGCTTTTGCCTAATCCCTGATAAAGTGGGCAAAGAAGCAGGTGTTTGCCTCTAATGAGGTCCAGATGCTATAAAACCCTTTTCCGTACTCTATCCAAGAAGATCAAATGTGAAAACTTATACTTTTATTGCTATTGTTGCTTCTTCTTCCCAGATGCTAACCAGCACAAGATTAGGTGTGGGCCAACAATAAACATTGCTGATTAGTTTCCATTGCTGAAATTGTTGGGATACACCATTGGCAGACTCAAATGCCCTCTTTTGCATTATATTAACAAAAAGTGGGGGCAGCTAGGTGGTGCAGTAGATAGAGCTCTGGCCTTGGAGTCAGGAGGACCTAAGTTTAAATCCAGTCTCAGATCAAACACTTGACACTTACTAGCTGTGTGACCCTGGGCAAGTCATTTAACCCCAATTACCTTTTTAAAAAAAAGGGAAAAATGCAGTGAATTTCATTTTATTTAGAATCCAAATAACTAAAAAAGATATTTAAACATATTGAAGTGTTTTATTGTTGTATATTCAGTTCTCTACTCTTATTTAGAAGACATAAATAATGGCTAGGATTTATTCCAAAAGACTACTTTGAGAGTTTGATATTAGGTAAGAAAAGATTCAGCCAAATCTTTTATGCCTTTTGTATTGACAGTCCCACAGAGTGATCAATATTCACCTTGGCCCTCAATGCTGCTCAAGCAATCCCATCCTCCTCATTGTCCATAGTCACTGTCCTAAAATAGCAGCCCTTACTTCCTTACTTATCAGCAGATTAAAGACCTGATCTGCTTCATTGAAATGTCCTATATCTCCGCTCACCTCCCTTCTCCCCTCCTACCTATCCTGTCTTTCCTCCCCTCCCCTCCCTTTTCCTCTCCTTTCTTTTACTTTTATCTCCTTTCATTTCTTTAAAAACAAGTTATGGTTCACTGAGCAGGGAAAGGGGAGCAATATATTGAGAAAATAAGGTGATATAAAAGAAAGTGTAACAATAACAATTTTTTTTTAATGAAATAGGTAGCATATATCAAATGCTTCTAATTCTTCTTGATCCAACTTCTACTGACTCTCTTGTCATATGGATCCTGGATACAACCTTCTGCTGACAATTCTCTCTCAAACACTACTAACTTTACTGACAATTCTCCCTCAAACATCACTAATGACAACCTAACTGAAAAATCCAATGGCCTTTTTCTTTTTCTTCCATCATCCTCTTTGGTCTCTTTAATATTTGGCACTATTGACCATCTTTATTTCTGGACATCATCATAGCCCATGTAAGTTCTGAGAATCTATATCCCAGCTGCAGTCCTCAAAGTTTGGCTATCTCCTGCTCCGACTTCTAGAGGAATCACTAAGGGGCTGGGATGGGAGAATGTTCTAATGCTACCAGCTCAAGTCCTTTTTCCTCTACTTGTCTATGAGATTATCAGTAAATAATAGTTTAGTTAATTAGCCTAAGTAGCTTTTAGAAAAGAGTATTAGTGAAGGTTTTACAGTAAGGATAACTGATACAACCCCCCCATTAAAAAAAGACCTTCTGACACAATTTCCTACATGTACATGCCAAATTGAGAGGACTTGGGGTCAGACTTAGAGAGCACATGTGATAAAGGGGGTAACTCACAGTTGCTGGTTGGTGGTGGTCCTTGTCTCCCATTTTTGGAGTATCTAAGATGCTCCCTGTAAACATGAGGAATCTATGGCTCTTGCCATCAGCTCATATGAGACTCCACTAGGACATCAGTGGGAAGATAGAAAGTCCAGAATTGGCTGTACTCTGTGAAAATCACAAGGTCCTTCTCTTGCCAAAGAGGGGAAGAGAGAATAAACCTGGCCAAAGATGAAGCAGGTAATTATTTCTCAGGCATTTTATCAAGAATGTCATATTTACTCTAACCTTTCAAATGTATCTGGTTCTCACTAGCTTTTGCAATAGACTAGAGATGACCACTGAGGCACGGCCAAGTTTCCTTGTCCTAGACAAGGAATACACAAGTTTTGTGTAACATTATTTCAGTTTAAACTGTTTGGTTGCACTTAATCTAAAGCCTATGATCTCATATAGTTAAAATATCAAAGGTAAAATGGGATGTAGTGACTTTGACCCCATACTTACATCACTCATCACCATAACCTCAACTATCACTTATTTGGGAATGGCTCCTAAAATGGGCCCTTACTTCTCTCTCAAGTTCCAGGCAGACATTTTGATTTGCCTACATCTCCACTTCATTTCTAGTTGGCACTTAATTGCTAAAAGACCAAAACTATCTTACTATCTTTTCTTCAAAACCCCCTTCTCCTTCTGACTTCATTATTTCTACCAATGGTACCAGCATTCACTCAGTTTTCCATATTTGAAAATTGTGTTCCCTTTGACTCACCCTTCCCCCTCTTAGCTGAAGGGAGGATGTTTAGTCTCATAGCTAATCAGTTAACAAACGCCATAGATTCTACCTCTGGGAAAAAATAATAGTAATAGCATAACTAATTTTATATACTGTACAGAAAGGCCAAAATTTATTGACATCATTTAATATGTTTCAGGAAACTTGCTAAGGAATTAGTCTTAGAAGCATTTTATTAATGAAGAAACTAAGAAATAAAGAGATTAAATGTCTGTTCAGGGATGATAGTTGAGCTACTAAGAAATACAAGAGCCTAGAAATCTTATTCTGTCTTTTCCCTCAGTGATTAGATTATATTAACATAATCTATGCCATTAAGAAGTCAAGGCATGTGTTATTCATAATAGTTTAATGTATTCATGGGGCAAAGAGTAACAGAGTCTTTGTTGATTTTCTTTTACTTTTTTTTTTAAAGGCTAGACTAGAAACTGATAGAAAAAAAATGTCAGTGGATACATTTGCAAAACCACAGCTTTGCAAGGCACGAAAGGTAAAGCTAGTGAGTGAGAATTAGACCAGTGACTGGCAGCACTTTCAGCAAAAAATTATACCCCACCCTACTGCTTTTGATCTGCTTTTGGTATACAACTTGATAAAATCTTGGTGTCATAGGAAAGAAGGGAGTTATTGGCCAGTGAGGTGGGTAGGGTGAGACTTTTGAGGTTACCAGACTTGCTCCTAGCTATAGCACTTTTTTTTTTAAACAGAACAATGCTGGAATTATTTTGAAGTTTAATGACTTGCTTCCTCAGAATTAATCTATGTCCTACCAAATATGTTTGTATGAATTCCAAGCTTCTAAACATTTACCAGGCAATAGGGCCCGGTAAATTTAGTGGCGAGTTGGAGTCAAAGGTGTTAGTTCTTACCCTGTTAACCAGCCCACACTATCATCCACTGAGGACTCATTGCAGGTCAAGAATTGTATCAGGTTCTTCGAATATTTCAAAAGAAAGGCCAGCCTTTGTTCTCCCAAAACATGCATATCATGCCCGCTAACCATGTCTATTTCCCAGGGCTTTATCATTAGCCATCTACTCTACTTTCTCTGTATTATTTCACTTGGTAAGTTCATCAGTTTCTCATGGATTCAGTTTTCATCTATATGATAATGATTCTCAGGTTTACTTAGCCAGCTCTAACCTTTCTTCTAGCCCCCAGGCTCACATCTCCAATTGCCTATTAGATATCTGGAACAGAATATACCATAGACATCTTAAATTTAACATCTACAGAACTGAATTCTTTAGTGTTCCTTACTTCAAACTTTTCCCTATTCCTAACTTTCCTGTCACCATAGAGGGTACCACCACATTCCCAGTTGCCCAGACTCATGACCTAAGTGTCATTCTTGACTCCTCACTCTCTCATCTGGCCATATGTAATCATTTATCAAGTTCTGTTGATTCTTCTATGTAACATCTCTTGTATATACACACTTGTCTCCTCTGACAATGCTACAAACCTACTATAGGCCCTATTCATCTCATACCTATACTTTTGCAACAGACTTTCTAGTTGGTCACCCTGCCTCAAATCTTTTCAAATATCTTAACTCATATGTCAAATTGATATACCTAAAGCACAGGTCAGACCATGACACCTTTTCACTTCCAACTCCCAAACAATCCAATAAATTATAGTGGCTCTTTATCACCTCCAATTTCAAATATAAAATCCTCCAGCACTCAAAGCCCTTCATAACCTGTCCCCTTCTTCCCTTTCTAGTCTTCTTGCACTTTGATCCACTCTTTCTCCTCACATACTCTACTATGCACTGGCCTCATTGTTATTCCTCACACAAGACACTCCATTTCCTGGCTCTGGGCATTTTTTATTGGTTGTCCTCTGTGCCTTGAATTTTCTCTTTCCCCATCGCTTTCTTCTGGCTTCCTTCAAGCCCCAGCTACAATCCCACTATCTATATAAAGAACAACAACAGAAGAAAACAAAACAAAGCAAACAAAACAAAAAATCCTATCCCAATCCCCCTTCATGTTAATGTCTTCTATTATCTCCAATTTATCCTGCATCTGTCTTGTTTGTACATAAATGTTGCATGTTGTCTCCCCCATTAGACTTTGAGCTCCTCAAGAGCTTTTCTTTGTATCCCCAGGTCTTAGCACTGTGCCTGGCTCATAGAAAACACTTAAAAACTCATGGTTACCTGACAACAGATAAAAATTATTTTCCAACAGTTTTATAACATATAAAATATAGTGCTATGTGGGAAGATACAAAGTGAAGTCAGCTGAATGAGTTAAAAAAATACACAATGACTACAACAGGATAAATGGAAAGAACAATAGCAAAAAAAATAAATCCTTGAAACTGAGCACTGTGCAATTATAATGATTAAGCCTGACCCCAAAGAAATGAAGACATGAGAAAAGGAGCCCCAACTCCCCTCTTCACAAAGTGAAGAGACTATGTGTGTAGAATATTACGTATACTGTCAGACTTAGCTGATGAGTTGGTTGTTTTCTTCCCTTTCTTTTAGTGACACGTTAAAAAATGAAGGCAATATAAAATAAAATATATTAATAAAAATTTAAATATTAAAATATACATTGCAAACTGCTATAAGAGAATAGACATAATCCTTCTCATTTCTGTGTTAAAAAAAACATTTTTAGAAATGAAATAAAATGGAATTTGCTAGTATAAATTTTTTCTATCTGAACTTAATCATAGCCTTAAATTTATATCAGCCTTTACAGTTACAAAGCACTTCAAAGGCCTTATCCCATTTGATCCATACAGCAACCCTATAAGATAGGTCTTTCCAGTATAGTTTATCATCAGTTCAAGAGTGAGAACACTAAGAATCCAAAAAGGTTAAAGACCTTGCCTAGTCATGTGTTAGTCTGGCAGAATCATGGCTTGAAGGTTGACCATCTAAGGTCAGTGCTTTTTACACTGCAGTCACTATACTTTTTCTCTAACAATTCTCCTCTCTTTTGATGAGATTATTATAGTGTTAGAGTCTAATAATCTTTTGTAGCTTTGAATTGATCCAATTTACTTCCTACTTAAACCTGTGCCCTTCTGTTCAGCACTGTGAAAAAGAAGTTTCAAGGAAGGAAAAAATTCAATCCTGGTGTTCAAAGCAACAAACATATCCCAGATCAAAGAGATTTTTGCTGGCAAATGGATAGCAAGACAAGACCTTGTATTTTCTTTGGGGGTCATTCCTTTTTGTCACCTTTCCAAAAGCATACGAGTGCCAATAACTAGTGTGAAAACATGTGGCTCATTACGGGAAATATATCCAACTCAGCTGCTTTGTCAAATGCAAACAAAATTCAAGGGTGTTGTCATGAACATTTGTCATGTGACTCACAGTGTATGCAGCCCTTTCCAATTATTTCTTCTTATTTTAGATGCATACCCTTCATGTAAAAAAGCTGTAGGGGAAAGATGAATAATACGACACAAATAGGCAGGCATAAAAGAAAGAGCAGGTAAAGACAGAATGATATTAACTGAAGTGCAACATACAGTATTTGATGCATACAAAAGACAATGAGCCCTGAGAATGACAGGATTATGAGGAGAAGGGAGGGAGAAATGTGTACATTCATGTTGTGCTCTAAAGACAATAGCTTCTTTGGTTTCTTTGGACTTTCCCTGTCCACTTTAGCAGTCTTCCTGTAGGTACTAACTCTCATGAGAATTTTCACCCAAGAACAGATTGAATATTCAAGGTGATAATCAATCACAACTGAGTTATACCTTAAACCCTTTAACTTGGAAAGTATAGACATTTCAGACCCATATAATGGGAGGCTTATAAAGCAGGACCAATTTCTTTTGCATTGTCCCTAACTATGTGTATGTGAGTGTGTGAATATCTATCTGTATTAATGAGAGGATGATTTTACTTTTTGAGAAATGTTATATTAATGGCATCTTTCTATATCACAATAATGCGTTAATTGGATACATATATACATACATGAATAGATAAAGAATAGATGATAGGAAGTTTACTAGTTGGATAGTTTCAGAGAAGCTAGGTGGTATAGAGATAGAGCCTTGGACTCAATAGTTTTACAGAAGGCCTTAGGGGTAAACCACTGAATAGGTTAGGAAAGTGAAGTTTACCTGAGGGCTGCAGGGAATTTCAAAATGGAATTTCCTTGTCATATGTAGAGTTAGAAGAAAACCAGCAGGCTAAGGGAGGAGTCAGGGAAAGAAATCTGTTCTCCCCATGCTCCAGATAGCAGATCAGATAATCTGCTATTATTAAAACAACTAATAATGTAGTAAGACTGGAATATAAGTTTTACAATATATCATAATGTCACAAAAATCTGTGGAAGAAATATAAATATCATTTTGTATGACTGCACGTGTATAATCTATATCAAATTGCTTGCCTTCCCAAGGAAAAGGGAGAGAAGGAATGAAGAGAATTTG